ATGCCAATCTTGAATTTTAACTTTTTTAATAAGTCTCCTTAAACTTATTTTATAAAGATTATATATCTTTATGAACAGTTTTTAACAATTAGGATTAATATTCTTAAATAGCCCCCTTAATTCTAGGTCTTGAAAATAATTTATTGAATTTAGCTAATATTCTAAACATTTCTTTAGCAGATGATGCTGAACCTAATGAATCTCTCAAATTTGTAGTAATTGTTGCTTCAACTGATTCTATAGCAATTTCATATTATTTTAATGCTCTAAAAAACTAATCTTCACCATCTCTACTCAAATCAAATACTTCAACATTTTTAAATATATCATATGCTTATTAAATTTCTTATAATGTAGCAAATTATTAAATATTCTCTTTTTATTCTTCTTAATCATTTTGTATAATCTATTCAATAACTTCTTTAAGATTTTCATGCATTTCTCTTAATCTCTAAATATGTTAGATCTATTTTTATAATTTAATATGCTCAAATTAACCATATTGATCTTTCTAATGTACTGATTTCTTTACTATACTTTATTTAAATATTTTATATTCTTCATCCCATTAACTGAAGATTTCTTAAGTTTTGATAATTAATCCCTTAAAATCCACATATTTAATATGTAATATCTAAAATCCTTTAAAATATTTAATCATTTCATTTGTTAATTCTCTTGAAAATGATTCTGCTAATTAAAGTGATCTAGGAATAGTATATGTCTCTTAAATATTTGACAATTTCTTCATATGTTAAAATATTTATATCATAGCATCTTTTATTTCCACTAAATTAGTAGCAATCAATAAATTATTTATTGGAAATTCTTTCATAAATTAATTACATGATTAACATTTCTATAAACTCTATTTTAAAGCTATTTCTTTAAATTATGCTGTTATATTCATCTTTTTTGCTTATGTCAAAACTTCAATAGTAAAATCAACTTCAGGTTATTTTAATTAATTTTCAATAAAAAATAATGATCTTTCCATACTCATCCAATAATTTATTTCATCTACTATACTTGCATTAGTCAATTCCAATTTAGTATTTGATATTTAATTAATATCTGAAATCCATCTTGTTACTGTTTAAGATATTGATTAAACTATGTCAGGTTTATTCAATTAGGCTGCATCTTCAATTGTAGGTTTACCTCCTTTTAATTTAACAGCTTCTTTGATACGTGGATCAAATTATAAAATAATTTCAGGTACTTCAACATTCTATCTACATTTAATGAATGCCAAATTCACTTCATTTAATTTTTTAATCAAATCATTATAACTTGATTGATCTACAATTCTCTTTTTATCTATTTCACCTTTGTATTAAGTGAATATTGGAATGAAACAATTTTATACATAATTATGTGATAAAGTGAAAGGATTAGCTCCTCCTTGTTATTCTGCATATCCAATGTTTATCACTTATACATGATTACTAAATTATTATGGTTGTAATTGATTGTCATATTGAAATGTATGTCTCTTTAAAAAGCAAATTGTATGAGCATAATTATTGGATGCTTCATATTCTGAGCGAATTTAAATATTGAATTTCTCATTCTCCATAGTTTTGCTTACAATGAGAGCTTTAATTTAGGAATCTGATAAAAATTAACAAATATTCTATTCATATAAGACAATTTCATACTTATTAATTTACATCCTCATGACAAGCGACATTCCATTAATCTTTATCGATGATCAATAAACTTAAACAGATTGCACTTAAATACTAATTGAAATTTTCAATCTCATTAGCACTATACAATTTGCTTTATTCTTATGTTTTCACATTTTGTTATACATCGCTTTCTTCCATTTTTTATTATTTTAATTTAAAAATGATATAAAATATCTGTATTAAATGTCTTAAGAATTCAAATATTTGAATATGATGTATTCATAATTAATTAGGTATATTAATGTTTTTATTTAAATATCATAAATTACACACAAAAATATATTATAATACTTCATTCTTAACTTTCTCCCAAAAGTTATGTTGAATATAATACAAAAGCCATAAATGAATTTGCAATACCAAAAGCCAAAAACCCTCTATAAAATGTTAAAATTCCTTCTTATTAATAAATTTATTTTGCTCCATCCCAAAATCCTTTATAATTTGTTTATAACATAAATGGAGATGAACCTTAACAATGTAATCTCCTAATCACAGTTAAAAATGGATATGATACTATTTATTGAATCATTAATAAATAGCCTAAACATAATCTTGTATCATTTATATATAAAGAAGGCATTTAAGATAATGAGATAAATATATGTTTATAAATATGTCCTAATGCACCCTTATAAAGATTTCTCTCCTTCTTTAATAAATCATAGATTGATCTATAAGTTCTAAAATTTGGTAATCTATTTTGATATATCATTTTGGATTATATTAGCATTAATGGATTTGTGAATACATCAACTACCATTCCAACTAATGAAGCATACAAATTTTGAATTAACTTCTTTTCATTAAAATACTTCTATATTAAGAAATATCTCAATTAAGAATTTGTGATTTAAAAGGCTATTCCAGTTCCTAATCCTTTAAAAAACCCTAAAAATCCTTATTCACCTATTCCTTTAAAAACAGCATTATAGTTTTAATAGGATGCACCTTAGTAATTTATAATTTTATATTTCAATATCTATTCTAATTTCTTTTATTCTCCTAATGTGATTTTTGCTTCCATAATGTCTTTAAGATTATTAACTTAAAAGTCCATTCTTTTTATTGATAATTAAAATGTAGTATGTATTACTTGTAATGGCTATGTCAATATTCTTATCTTATTAAATGTCAATCTATTACCCTAAAGCAGTGGTTGTGAATGAATTTCCGATAGCAATCTACCACCATTTAACTTCATATTTCTTCTCATCAAACACACTTTCTAATTCCTTTAAATCAATATCATCATGTGTTTCTTCTTTTTTTATTCCTTTCAAATATTCTGAAAAGTCTTTAGACATTATTCTTTACCTTAAATAAATTATATAAAATTTAGAATTATTATTATAATATTTTTGAAAACTAGTACAATGATCTATGTAACACTTTTAATAATAAATTACTAATATGATTTAGATAAACACACAAAATATATTGATAATTTTTCATTAATATAAAACATGGATAAATTTAACAATATTTAATTTAACTGATAAAAATCTATGTATAAACCTTCAAGGTCTCTAAGATAAAGTTAAGAAAAACAATATACAAATAACAAACCATCTCCATAGACAAGAGCAGTTTCATTTGCTACTACTATGGAAGACCCTCTTAGATAAATTAGTAGAGAATTTGATAGAGATATATATAAGTAAAAGTTGAAAATTTAAGAGGTTGAATTATTGGAAGCAAAAGGTAAAAATATCTAATTTTATAGATTAGAATAGTAGAATTAAATTTACATAGAGTTGAATGAATAGAAATTGAAAAATAAATAATAATAATAAGTTATAGATAATTTAGAATTCAAACTTCATATTGAGAAAAAGGATTCATTAATATATTAACAATAAGTTTAGAGATTAGAGGAATAATACAATTATTTATAAGATAATTATAATACATAAAAATAACAGATAATTGTATTATAAGAGAGTATAGAGTAAATATAGAAGAAGAATAATCTTGAGAAGGAAATGAGAAATGAAAAAGAATTATTACAGGAGAAGGAAATTAAGTAAAAGTGATAATTATCCATCAAGATTTTAATAAAATGAGATAAAGAGATATTAAGAAGAAATTATAAAATAGAGAGAACATATGTTATTAAATAATTAATAACAAAATACTAATGAATTTATTTAAATATTAGAAAATAAATTTGAATTAGTGTAAAAAGAATTCATATTCTATAAAAAAGAAAAAGAATAAGAAATTGAAAAAATTAAATAATTTATAGATTCTTATTAAAATTAAATTGAATGCTTAAATTAAGAAAATTAAAATTTATAAGATAAATAATTAATAATTTCTACAAAAGAGGAACATTAATAATAAATAACAAGTTTGAAAATTGAATTAGAAAGCTAAATTTAAATAACTAAATAATTGAATTAATAAATTGTAATTTTGTAATAATAATTAAACTAAACAAATATAATTTGTTAAAATCTAAAAGAAGAAAAATAAAATGCAATTAAAGAGAAATAAGCCATAGAAACTTATTATTTAGATTAATTGTAGAAATAAGATGTGTAATTATCTTAAATGATTAAATCATCTATTTAAAATGAATAAAAAGCTTAAATCTAAAAATTACAAATTATTATTGAGTATTTTATTCATTTTATAGTATTTTAGATAAAAAGATCTAATGATAAGAGAATTAAGTATGTAAAAGGATTGTAATTGTAATAAGTAGATTAAAAATGAATAAAAATTAATTATAAGAGATCTTGAAAAAAAAAATGCAACTTTAGTTATGGAAGTTGAAAGATTAAATAAAATTTTAAAATAGAAATTAACTGAACTTGAAAATTAAACTTCAAGATCATGTGAAGAAAATCATAAGAAATATTTAGAAGAAATTGATATTTGGAAAAACAAGTTTTTATCTATTAATAAACAATATCATATTAGTTAAGAATAATTAATGGTAGTTAAAACAGAATTAGATGGTTTAAAAAAAACTAAATAAAAAGAAAATATTGATCCAATTTAAATTAATAAAGTTGTATGATATAGTTATTTATATTAACTTATGAATTATTATAAATCAATTTATAAAAACAAAACGATAATTTTATCATAAACTATATTTTTAATTAATAGTAAGTCTTAATCATAGATAAAATATTATGAAAATTTCAAATATATATTATTAAAACAAGATGAAAATAATATTTAATTATAATTGTTGTAGTGTTCTCTAATATTCTTGATTAAAAATGATAATAAAAATCTTCTAAATTTTAACTTCAGGGAAAAATTTAATATATTTATTGTTTATAATAATCAATGCAGCAGGACAAAGGAAGGATTTATTATGGCAGATTTGTTCAAAGAGAAAAATTGAGTTAAGGTATATAGAGAATAATACTGTTAGGTTCATTTGGAGTAGTTTATATTTGTCATGATAAAGTCACAAGAGATTATGTTGCTATAAAAGTGGAGAAAGAAAATAAAAATTTAATGAGTTTAGAACGAGAAATCTAAATTATAGAGGAACTAAGAGGAATAACAGGTAATACTATATTTAATTAATTTTAGGTGTTCCAAAGTTGTATTGGTATGGAAATGAGTATAATTAAAATTGTATGGCTATGCAATTACTTGGAAGAGATTTAGCTCATTTTTAAAAGAAATTTAAGAAACTCTCATTAAAAACAGTATGCAACTTGGCTGAATAATTACTAACTATTCTAGAAGAGATTCATAAAAGGTACCATATCAAAATATTTAAAGGGGTGTTATTCATAGAGATATAAAACCAGAAAATATCTTGATGGGAAGAGGAAATGATTCTTAATAAGTCTATATGGTTGATTTTGGAATATCTAAAAAATATCGTAATAACAATTAGCATATGTAAAATAATTAATTTTTATCTAGTTCATTCTAAGAAAATAAACCTTTTTTAGGCACAACTAGATATGCAAGTATTTCTGCTCATAAGGGTTATGAATTATCAAGAAAGGATGATTTAGAAAGTTTAGGATATGTTTTTATTTATTTACTTAGAGGTATATATATAATTTAAAAATTAGGAAATCTACCATGGTAAAACATTACATCTACATCAGATAAAGAGAAAACAAAATTAGTGGGTAAATTAAAAATGGAACTAGAATTGAAAGACTTATGTAAAGGATTGCCAATTGAATTTTATAGATACATGGATTATGTTTACAAATTGAAATTTGCATCTACACCAGATTATAAATATTTATTAGGTTTGTTTTAAAGAATAGCTCAATAAAATAATATAAATTTTGATAGAAAATTTGATTGGATGGACAATCAAACAACATCTACTAAATCTTCAGATTAAGCTCAATAATCTTCAAATGAAATTGATATTTCAAATTTATAAAGTGATTATCTCAAATTGAAAAAGAGTGAAAAACATAAATCTTATCAGATAGATTAAAATTCGTAATAATCTTCAGTTGTTATCAATTATGCTCCTTCAATTGTATCTAATAGAAATAATAGATATTTTTAAAGATCTCGATAAAATTCAAAATAATCTTATTCTAGAGAATCTTCATTAATAAAATAACCTTAAGGATAGAAATTTTAAGGTGCATTTTTTTTAAATCGAGAATTTAAAGATTTTGATGATCATGATCATGAAAACAAAGAAAAAAAAAGTCCAATTAATTTTTCTGAGTTTGATGATATTGATAATTTTGATGATGAATTAAATGATGATGATTAATAGATTCATTAAGATTAAAGGAAAGTTGGAATTATAAAAGTTCATTTTAAGGAGCATTTATCAAAACAATGAGAGGATTTTCGTAATTTATTTTTGATTACTCAATCTTTTGTATTATTCATTTTCATAATGACTTTTTAATTATATAAAATTAAGACATTTATCCCTTATCAAAAATTAGATAAGTTCATTAGTTTAATAATTAATTAAATTTGAATGGAAGAATTAAAAAAAGGAGATATAATTGCTGAAGAATATGAAATCGTAAATCTATTATCATAAGGATCTTTTGGAAAGGTTTTTTTGGGAAGATCACAATCCAAAAAAATTGAGGTCGCAATTAAGATTGAAAAGAATGAAGTTGCTCATCTAAATAGTTTATAGAAAGAAGTAACTAGTGCTTCTTATTAAATACAATTTAGGTTAGAATATTGAAATAATTAGAAGGAATTGCCTAAATTCCAAGTGTTTTATGGAATGGTTACTATAAAGGAATGGATATAATAATTTTTAATATGCTAGGAAAAGATTTGATCTATTATTTTCATAAATTTAAGCATTTCTCTTATTAGTGTATTTGCAATATAGCCATATAAATGATTGAAATTTTAGAACTAATCCATAAAAAGTAACAAATAAATTTTATAATATTTAAGAAATATTATTCATAGAGATTTAAAACCAGAAAATATTTTAGGATCACCAAATTCTTCAAAAATATATCTAATTGATTTTGGTATTTCAAAAGATTTAGAGTAAAATAAAAAATCTAGGGATAAATTATCTTTTATTGGAACAACCAGATATGCTAGTTTAGCTGCTCATTTAGGAGTTGAATAAAATAAAAAAGATGATTTAGAATCATTAGGATATATCCTTATTTTCTTTATTAATTAAACTCTACCTTGGATGAATATAGATAAAGATGATGTATATAGAATTGAAAAAATAGGACAAATGAAGGAAGAAATTACATTAGAATAATTATGTAATGGTTTACCATCAGCAATATTAAAGTACTCCTTTTAATATTTAGATACATGAAATATGTGAAGTAATTATAATCTAAACAGAAACCTGATTATTAATCATTAAAAAGTTTATTTATGAATGAAAATCAAATAAGTAATAATGGTTTGATTTTTGATTGGAATAAAAAGGATTTCTAAGAATAAAAATAAAAATCATCAAAATCTTTAAAATCTTTAAATAATATTCAAAATACTAAAAGTTAAATAAATAATAGAAATAAAAAACATTTTTAATCTATTTCTAATATTTAAAGAGAAAGTTAAGTGAAAATATCAAGTAAAAAAAATTGTAGCACTTTTGGTTAAAAAGAATCAAGTGATGAACGTTCAAATTCTATAAAATAGGTTTCTAATTAAAAAAGCATTTTTGTTGACTACTCAATTAGTTATGAATAAACTAAAGTTTCAAAAATCTCATAATATAGATAGAAAAGTTAAAAAAGCATTTTTGGTAAAATACATCAAAAAAGTTAATAACTTAAAGAGTCTTCTATAATACCTATCCAATCAGAATAATAATTATACGAAATGGAAGAATCAGATTTAGAACTAAAGTATAATTTATTGCATTATACTTCTGTATATTATAATTATAAAAATCCAATCTAAGAGTTTAAAGTTGTTTAATTTAGCTGAAATTACTTATTGTTATTTTTAACATTTTTACAATTATTAAATATTCTCAATATTTTTAAACAATAATATAAAATTTGAATTTATATAGTAATATATAAACTTTTTAATTTTAAATCTTAATTATATAATTCATTACAAATAATTCTATAAAATTATTAATAACTTAAAAATCTTATTTCAATTTTATTCAATTACTTCATAATACGATAATAGATCTCTATTAAAATGAATTCAGATTAGGAATTTTTTATGAGTTAAGAATCTTAAAGTATTTGAAATTCAGGATCAAGATTTTATATAGAAAACTCTCAAAGTATCCTCTATAAGGGTATTAATAAAGTATAAAATAGTATAATTCTATATCAAAGATAAGAACTAAAAAATTTTATTTATATTCATTTTTAAATTACCTAACATCTTATGTTGTGAGTGTATTCTATTAAAGTTCAAAAGATTCTTTTACAATCTATTCATAATGGGTTTAATAAAAAAGAAAGATTAAATTCTTATTAAAGTAAGTTTTTAGTACTATAGATTTAGTTATATTTAATAATCATATATATTGGTTTTAATCTTTGAGAGTGAATTAATTGGAATTCAAGATTATTTCATATATATTATAAATAGGATAATGTTATTTTATGAAACCTAAAGTTGAAATTTAGGATATAATATATTGTAAATCTTTAGGAATAAAGAATAAGAATATTTTATTATTTTATATAAATTTATTATAAAAGTAAAACAATATATGTATATGTGTAATTGTTTATAACAACTTTTATTGAAATAATTTTAGTTGAAAATATTTAGATTTACAAAAAAAAACGAAAGGTTGAATATAATATTTGATAAAATTACAAAAATATTATTATAATAAATTATAATAGTAATGGAATTCTCAATTATATGCAGAATTTGTAATGAAAGAATAAACATCAATTTAATGGATATTCACAATTAAAATTGTAAAAATAATGCTGAATTTCGAAAAAAATAAGTTTAAATAAATCTGTAGGTGGCTCGTTTATGTGAAAAAGCATATATGAAAAAACATTAAATTCATCTAAAATAAGGATTAAAATTGTATTAGTGTTAGTATTATGATAAACTAGTATGAATGAGATGAGAATGAGAAAATAGAAAGGAATAAAATAAAGTGAAGATACAAAATAAGTTTATTAAGAATATCGAGTGTTAAAATTATTGATTAGTTATGGAGAGAAGGTGGCTAATTAGGAATTAGATGCAAAATGTATAATATCTAATTGAGATTTAGATCATTTGATTACTCAAAATGAAATAATGGCAGCATAATAAAGTATTGAAGATTAGAGTATATAGAATTTAATAGAGTAGATGAATAGATTGATTAATTAAAGATTAGACTATTGTTATAAATGTAAATAAATATGTAATAGTATTTAAATAGCTAAGATGTAAAATTTTGGAAGCATTTCATTTCGATTAAGTAAATTTAGATAAGATAGTCCAAGAAGTATTCCAGATACAAATAGGCTAAACTCTTTCTCAGATTATTTAAGTTTGAAGTAAATTAATTGATAAGAATAAGTTTTACATTAAATAATGATTAATCTGGATCTATGATAGGATAAAAATAGACAATTAATTCTAAATCATCAGTATCAATAATGGGAAAATTAAAGAAGAGTGGAAAGATCAGTTAATTTTTACAAAGATAATAATCTACAAAATCAATACAAAATAATGAAGAAAATGAATAAGAATAATTAAGTAATTTTTAAACAAAGAAAAAAAGTTGTTTTGCATAGACTGCGAGTTCTGAAAGTGATTTAGATTTAAGTATTGAAAATTCTGATTTATAAATTGATACTATTGAATCTACTAAATAGATAGAATTTGAATAGGATTGTTTTTTTGCATCAGAAAAAGGATATTTTTCAGATACAGAAATAATTAAATTAGATGCTGAAAATAGAGATCAAGAAAGAAATATTTGTTTAAAGGATTTTTAATTTATTAGATAAATAGGTTAAGGTGCATATGGAGGAGTCTTTTAAGTGAAAAGAATAGCAACTGGTGATTAATATGCATTAAAAATTATAAATTGTTCTAATCGACCTTTTGAGAGATTATTAACTTAATTAAAATAAGAGAGAAACATATTTGAGATTTTGACAGGAGAATATGTTGCAAAAGCATTTTATTCATTTTAACATTAATCATCATTGTGTTTTGTATAAGAATACATGGTTGGAGGAGATTTTGCTAAAATATTGATGATAGAAGGAGTATTTTAATTAATAATTAATATAGGCATTTGATGAGAATATAGCAAGACATTATTTTGCTGAAATTCTTCTTGCTCTTGAATATCTTCACAGTAATAATATAGTACATAGAGATTTAAAACCAGAAAATATACTATTAGATTAAAATGGACATATAAAATTGGCTGATTTTGGATTGAGTGAATTAGGATTTAACAAAATGATGGTAAATAGAAAAACTAGTCAAAGAGATATGATGAAATAAGATTTATCATCCTCTCCTGGTTATATAATTTAAAGAGGAGCATCATTTAAGAAATCAAGATCAACTAATAGTTAATGTGAAAAAGGATCAGAAGAAGAACGTAGAAAAGTAGTCGGAACACCTGATTATATAGCACCAGAAATAATCAAAGGACTTTCTTTTTCAAATAAGACTTTGGATTATTGGTCTTTAGGAGTTATTTTATTTGAATTTTTGGTTGGAATACCTCCTTTCAATGATGAATCTGTTGATAAAATATTTTCTAATATATTGGAAGGTAAAATAGAATGGCCAGATATTGGAGATGATCCTGAAACATAAATATCAGAATGTGTTTATGATTTACTTAAATAACTATTGAATCTTGATTATAAATAAAGAATAGGTTATGAATCTATAGAATAAATAAAGAAACATCCATTTTTAAATTCGATAAATTGGAATAAATTAAGAAATTAATAAGGACCAATCATTCCAAGAATAGCATAAAATACATAATAATTCGAAAATGTTTAAGAAAAATTACAAAAGTTTTTATAAAGAAGTGAAAGAAAACATTCTTAGATAGTTTAAAAATTATAAGATGAATTAGAATATTTAGAAAGAGTGGATCTTTTAATAGCAACAAATGAATAAGAAGTTATTTAAATTAAATCATAATTTAATTTATGATATTATTTTTTTCATTCTTATTAAATATACTAATATATATTATATTATTATATATTTATATTAATCTTTAAAAAAATAAAAAATATAGCAGAGAGTGGTTTCGATCCACCGACCTTTGAGTTATGAGCCCAACGCGATTCCACTTCGCCACCCTGCTTATGTTGATAAATATGATGTTTATAAATTAATTAATAATGATACAAATCGGATAAAAAACAATTTAAATATGGTTGGTTAGACATGGATAAACTGAAGGAAACAAATTATAGATTTTATAAGGATAAGATGATGGACAATTATCTGCTTTAGGAATTAAGTAAGCAGAAGCTTTAGGTAAAAGAATTAAAAAGGAAAATTTTGATGTGGTTTATGTGAGTGACTTAGCAAGAACAAAATAAACATTTGAATTGATTTAGAAGCACCATACCAAATAGATGATGCCAAATTTTGAACCACTTTTGAGAGAAAAGCATGCAGGTATAGATTAATATTATAATTGGGTGTTTTGTAAGGATAAAGTTTAGCAATGCCTAAAAAATTAGCTGCAGAATAAGGAGTTGATATTAGAGAATTTAAACCTGATTAAGGAGAATCTTGGATTGATGTTAATAATCGAGCCTAATAAATGCTTTAATTAATTATCCAAAGATGTAGTGATTTGAAATAAAATAATATCACAGTACTTTTAGTTACTCATGGAGGGTATCTATTATATAATATAATTAGATTTATTATGGAATTTATGAATTAGATTAATTATATGATCAATAAAAAACAGCCAGTTTATAATAATTGTGCATTAAATTGCTCAATTACTATTGTAAAATACATTTTACCAAAAGGAGAAGTCAAAATAGTGACTTAAAATGATGCTTCACATATTCAAAAGCTATGAAAATTATTAAATTATAAATAAATTATTTTAAATTTGAATGATAAAATAGAAAATTTTCGAAGCAATGGATATGATGTACCAAACTTAAATTATTACTACATTGTCATATTAGTTCTTATTATTCATTGAATTTTTATAGATGGTATCATTGATAAATAATTAGTTACTTAGTTATATTATTCAGTATATTAAACATATTTATTTAAGACAAATTATTTTGTTTACTTTGTTGAAGCAATATCATATTTTTAACCTGTAAAATACTTAACAACAATAGATTCAACATTATTTTCAGTATTTGTTATATTTGTAATGATATTATATAAATTTAGGGATTTATTTACTTATCAGTTTCTGTGACATTGTTTATTTATGTATTAGTAACTGAAAAGTCTATGTTCACAATATATTCAATTAGAATATATAATCTCTTAATGGTAATGCTTGTTACTGTGTTTGTTATCCCCTTTTTAAGTATATTTCTGGCAACTTTTAAGTGTGAAGGATAAATGGAATGTGATTCAATCCTTTATTACATAATGGTAATATTATCTTCTTTAGGAATTGTAATGTTATCTATTTGTTTAGTCTTTTTTGAAATTTTCTTAGTTGATTATAAGTAGATTTTTATGATTATTTTAGCCCATTTACTCCAATCCCATATGCATCTAAATACACAAAGTTAAATTGGATTGAATTAATATTTAAGATTTATTTGCCATTTTTTGCTGTTATGGATCCATAACAAGATGCTGAAAAACCATTTATAACAATATTATGTATAATGTATGCAATGATGATCACAATGAGATTAAAGACAAGGTAATTCATTGAAAATAGTGTGAATATAAGTAAGTTGAGTTAAACCTCTTTATTATTTTGGACTTCTTTTGTATCAGTTTGTCATGCTTATTTAGATTAAGGAGAAATTGATGATATGGGATTTTTTTATGAAGTAGTATGTTCACCTCTTGTTGTATATTGTTGCTTTAAATTAAATAAAAGTCCTGAATTAATAACTCATATGAAAAAAGATATATAATTAGAAGAAACTGTTTAAGAAATGATATTTTTGATAGAAAATAGAGAAAAACCAATAAATAGAATGAAATTAGAAGGATTTGTAAAATTACATTAAAAAGATTGTTTAAAATCTGTTGAATAATGTCCATGTTCTTTAATACATTAAGATACTTTAAGAAATTAAGATAATGAAAAAACTAATGATAAATAATCCTTAGATAAGACTATAAGATGGTATGCTTTTGTTTAAGCCCTTATTTAGAATTCGTCTGATAGACTTCAGACAACAAGAATTTAAATAATTCGATCATATGTATTATAAAAAAAGTTAAAAAATAAATTTAAATCATTTTATGAATTGGCTATTGCACAAAAATAAAGACTATAATTCTAAGATGAGTTTTGTATTTACAGAGTAATGAATTAAATTGAATTAGAAATGATTGAATAAGATAAGAATTAAGAGATAGATGTGTAATAAATAGTAAACTTTTAAAACTACTATATTCAATTTGAAACAGCAATTGAGAAATCAGTTAATTTGCATTTAGAATATTGGAGAGAATTATAAGAAGAGTCACCAGATATTGGGAAATTGTAATAATTGGGAGCATCAATAACATCATCAATTGATGAGACAGAGCAACTTTATGATAAATTAATTAAAATAAATAGTATCCACTTAAAAACACTAGAAATATATGGAAATTTTTTAACTCATGTAGTAAACAATGATATTGAAGGAACTAGAATAATAGACAAATCAGATTAAATAAGTAAGAATTTAGAAATCAATCGAATTATTGATAGTGAAAAATTTAAATATGATTAAAATAGTGATACTTGTATTATTACATGTTCAGTTAATATTGAGAATTTAGGTGCTATTACAAATTGCAATAATGAAATATAAAAATTATTAGGTTATAAAAAAGCTGATTTATTAAGATCAAATGTATCAAGAATTATGCCTAGAATTTTGGCTAGTGTTCATGATGATTTTATAAGAAATTTTATTTAAACAAGTTAAAGTAAAGTTTTGGGAATAGAAAGATAAGTATTTGCATTAAATAAAAATGGATTTTTAGTTCCTTGTTCTTTAATGATTCGAGTTTTACCAAATTTAAAGAATGGATTATAAATAGTAGGATTCTTAAAGAAAAGTGACAATACTGATAAATTTTTTTATCTTATGTTTGATGAGTTATCACATTCTATTTTAGGCTTTAGTGAATCTGTTTATGATAAATTTGGTGTTCCAGCAGGTGTTGCCAATGGTTAATTAGATCTACCTATTATTGATATAGCACCTGAACTCATTGAATTTTGTAAAAAATAAGGAGCCTTCAATTTTACAATTGATACAACAGGATTATCAAATAATTATTAAATTGTATAAGATGAAAGTTTAGAAGATATATAATAATAGGAAGATTAATCTGCGTTTTATGGTATTTCAAGAGATCCCTATGAATAAAATATATTATTGGAAAGAAAAGAATATAGTTAAATAAATGAGAAAACTGCAAATAATGATAAATCAATGATTAATGATAAGACTATTATTCATGAAACAAAATAAAATACTCATAAATCATAAAAATACAAAAGTGCTTTAGTAAAAGGATTACTAGTTGAAGACTCTGAATATGCCAATGCAAAAATAAAAATCATTTAATTTATTGAGGAATCTTAGGAAGAATTATTAAATAAAGTAATTGAAGACAAGAAATTAGAAGAAGAATAACCAGATATTGTAGAAAATGTAATATAATCAGAAGTAAGTGGAGGGTCAGGTCTATCTGTTAATGAAGAAATTAGATAAATAAAAGAATTCAAAATATAAATGGGTGAGAAATCTGAAGCTTCTAAAATTATTGTGTTAAATAGAATTGTCATTGTTTTATCCACTATTTTAATAGTTTTATCATCAATTCAATTAGGATATCGATTATAATAAAATGATGAACTTTTAAATGGTCATTCTGCCATAACAATGGCCTATTATAGAACAGGTGTAATGGCTGATGTAGTATTCTATACTAGATACTTATAATTGATGGCTTATGGTAATGTTACATATGATCAAAGTTTTAGAGACAAAGTAAATTTTTATATCATTTATTTTAGTTAAGTTTATAAGTTAATCAACTTAAGTCTATTTAATATTCTCTTATCAAGTCTCGAATTGATATGGAAGCTAAGAAAAATGTATTTACTGATACTACTATTAATGTGACTTACTTATATGATAATGTAGAATAGAATTACTCAAGTTCCTTAAGTGATGCTATATTTTAATTAGTAACATCTGCTTCTATTATAAGAAATGCATCCTTGTTATCTTTTATTGATCCCAATAGTGTAATTTATTTATATAATTAAATAGACTGAAAATACTGTTAAAAATGTATTCTTTATTATTAGAAATGGATATCAATTACTAAGATAAGGATCCTAAGATGTTTCAGAAATCTATTATGACTTTTTTGTTTTCATAATTGGAGACTATGATTCAATTTTTTATGCAGTATTATCATTAGCCATAGCATCATTAGTAATTGCTTAATTCTTTTTGGTACCTATTGTTTTAAAAGTTCATAATATCAATAATAAAGTGATGTCCTTATTTGGATTATTGACTTAAAAGGATATTAAAGAATTAGCTTAGAGAAGTGAATAATTTAAGAATACTTACCTTTCAAATATGCAAAATACAATAAAAGAATAGGCTTAAGCAAAAGCTGAAATGGAGAAATTATAAGAAAAGCATAAGAAAAATAAAAATTAAGAATAAATTGATTAATCAAATTTAATTGTTGAAATTAATAATGAATAACCATAGCCATCTATTGATGCTCCATTATCTTTGAATTAATAACCATTGCCTTCATCTTTACCAACACATAAGAATATCGATAAATTATAGTTACAACAGTAATAAGAACATGATGAATAATAAATTTTAGACTCAGAAGCAATGAGATAATAAAAACTTTTAAATTCTAAAGCTTCAAATACATTTTCTGTATCTATTAAATTTATTCTCATGATGATGATATTTATGGCCTACTTTATAATTAATATCACATTAGAATAATAATTAACTGATTAATCTGTTATAATATATAACCATTTGAAATATAGTTCTATAAGAGCTTATAATCTAAAATATTCAATTTATTTTACTTTGGAATAAATCCTTTAATCTACCAATTATAAAGAAGAATATATTGAAGCTTTATATGAAAATGAAAGACTTTGTTTAGAATCATTATAATAATCATTCTCATCAAAGTTTGATCCATATATTTCTCTCTATAATTAATTCAATTTACAAAGCTTATGTCTATAATCATTTTCAACTGAATAATTTGTTTTAGATGTAAATCAATGCTCAATTCTATCTGGAGGTATTTTGGATAGAGGTTTAAGAAATTCTATCACATCATTAGCTTTGTGGGCTAGTAATACTATATCCACAGATATTAAGATATTAGATAGTTAATAAGTGAAAAACTATATTGAATAAGTTTATTACATTGATTAAGCCATAGTATATTTAAATACATAATACTCTTTAGGAATGGCAGATTTTGTAGAATCTGAACAATAAATAGAGAAAATTAAATTTTCAGTCTTTATTATTGGATTAGTATTCATATTTTTATTCATTTGGACACCCTACAACAAAGAAATGAGTAGATAAATTTGGAGAACAAAAGGTATGCTAAACATGATTCCATTTGAAATGATAAAGGCATAAGAAACTTTGAAAAATGCATTTCTTAAAGGAAATATTATAGCAGCTGTTAAATGAATTAAATATTAATTTTTATTAAATAATAGTGAATTTTTATTCTTAATTATATCTTATAAATTTAAAATAATTATTTAATACAATTTATTACTTTTACTTATCATATTTATTTCATTTGGTTAATTTAATTTAATTTAAAAAAAATATCGATTATTTATTGTAATATGGTTTGAATTCAATTAAAATGAAAAGGAATATTAGTTTTTTATTCTATTTTTCATATTATAGAAACATAAATTTTATTATAAACTTTTAGAATGTTTCTTATTAAATTTAATTATATTTGTGTTCAATTTTAGATATCTAAATAATTTTATATATAGATATAAGTTTCTCAAAATTTATTTTATAAGCAAACAAAAATAAGAATAAATAAAGCTTCATTTTTTCCATGCTTTAGCTTTAAATTATCTTTGAATATATGGATTTTAAGTATTATATGTAGAATTTGGAGATTATGCTCTTTATCTCATGGGTTTAAATTAAGAATTTGGTTATGATCCTGCTTCTTGTCTTTAGCCTGAACTTGTATTTCTTTTATAGGGTGTTGTTTGAACTCGAGGAGCCTTCAATTAATTTGGAGCAGTTTATGGTCTACGAGTACCATTTTGTTATTGGGATTTCTATAGAAATTAATCTCTTGAGTCCATGAAATTATTCATATAAACCTTTTGTGGCTCTATCAATTATCATAAATGATATACAAGAAGCATTATTATCAAAAACTGATCCTGATTTAACACTATCACTTTTTGTTAGCCTTTATTATTGAGCACCTTAAGATTAGGGTCTTTAAGGTTATTGAGGCTAGATTTATTATAGACTAGATTTTTGTGAATCTTTTTGAGGTTGTTAAATTGATTATTCCTAAATATTAATAGATTATTATTTTTAAGTTTATTGCTAAAATGATGGATCAATTTATTTTGATGAACCTGATAATTTAATAATTGGTTTAGCCTCTTAGGGTATAGATCTTGTTTTGGAGAATACTATTTTGTCATATGGTGGAATATACATAGAAACCTTTTCAGCAAATTTTAATCTAATATTTAATATAATTGATAATAAACTTAGATTCTTTTGGTTTTGGATCATGATCTTTGAATTCAGCTACTCCTTATGCCTGAGAATTCAAGTATGTATTTCTAAGTATAATTTCATCATTATCTCCCTAAGTGTAAGTCTCATCCCAATTATAAGTCTTAGCACCATATCCTTATTTCTACAATCTTGTTTCAACTGATAATAACTAATTAAAGAAGTGAGCTCTGATTTCTAAATCTGGTCTTCTATTATGCATATATTAAAGAGTTTTATAAAGAGTCCATCTATATTTCTTCATAAAATAAACACATAAGGTAGCAACAGATCGATTGTGTCCTTTAACTGATAAGACAATAACACTCTCCCCATTATTTAATGCATCATCTACAAATTTCATTATATTATTTATTATTTCATCTTATTGTAAAATAACCTAATCATTTATTAACAGTTTCTTACTTATTAATCATTATCTAGCCATGGGAATGACATATAAACAATTCCAATAGATTCCCAGTGATTTGGTATTTATTTAGATGCACAGTTAATAATCCTTGAAACCTTATTAGTAACAATGAATTCAAGATCCTAATCTAACAATTATAGAATACCTATGCAGCAAATTAATCTCCTAAAAATAGCCCATCTTTAATTTTTATGGCCCCTATATAATCGTAATTCATTTCTTTAATATTAATTTAAATATAAACAACATTCAATAAATTCTTTTACAATCATAAGAACTTCAAATTCAATCTTGAAACTATTCAGTTCTCTTTTCTGATTTTATTACTTTACTTCTTGTACATTTTTATATCATCAAAATTTAATTGATGGTATTTTAGAATTTAAAATATTTTCCAAGTAGATTAATTTATAATATTCAAAATATTCAAAAATATCAGTGAATATCAATTTTTATATCTTTTATTATATATTACCAATGGTTCTTTGATATTTTCACTTCTTATAATTTGCTTAAATAGTGATTAATTTTTGGTCAATAATTTATCTTTAAACTTATCTTTATAAAGATTTATATAATTAATCCAAATATTCATTTTATTCTATTTTAATAAGAATTTAGTGTAAATCCAAATAGCCATATTAATCTATATTTTTATTATCTCCCTAAATAAACTCTATTTTAATATTTTTCTTCAAAATTATATCCAAAATATTCTCTCCTGTTATAAAATCTGATGATTTTTGCTTATCCAATTTATATATATTATTCTAATTGATCATTCTTTATATTATTTCATATAAATAAACTTATTTGAATATTTGAGATGGCAATTATAATTATGATTTATATATTTTTCTTTATTATAAAATAACAAGAATATTTGATTATTTTATGAATTAATTTAATAAGGAAGAGTATTTATTTTTAGCTAAGATTGCCTAGTAAACAGAAAGGTTTAATGATATGATTGAATTTATCAAACAAATTGATGACTTAGAACTTACAAAAGAAGAACGCAATACACTCTAATCAGCCTATAATAATGTGGTATAGAAATCTCTTAATATCATTAGATTGGTATCAAAAGAGCTGAATTAAGAGTATTACAGGAAATAGAAGAAAGAGAATCAAATAGGTAGAGTGATGGATAGGTTTTATTATATATAAAGAATTATCTAATTAAAATTGAAAAAGAGTTGTAATAGAAATGCTAGGAGATAATTATATTAGTCAGAGATAAATTATTATAAAATGCTAAATAAACTGAAAGCAAAGTGTTCTATTTAAAAATGATTGGAGATTATAATAGATATTTGGCAGAATTTCATTTGGAGAATGATTAACACAATGCAATTGATCAAGCAAAAGAAGCTTATAAGTATTAATCATTTAGAATTAGAGAAGCCGTTCTAATGGCATAAACAAAATTGTCTCCAACATTACCATTATACTTGAGATTGATGCTAAATACTTCTGTATTCATAAGTGATATTTTATCTGATGTTGAAGGAGCCAGAGAATTAGCAAAAGAATCTTTTGAAAAAGGAATTTTATTTTTGGACCATGTCAAAGAAGAGAATATCAAAGATTATTAATGTTTGTTATAATTGCTTAGTGATAATATACAACTTTGGGAATAAGAATCTAATCTAGAAATGAATATATTAAATTAATAATGAATAAATTTAGTAGAGAAGAATTTTTATTCTTAGCTAAAATTGCATAACAGACAGAACGATTTAATGATATGATAGAATTTATTAAGCATTTCTTGGATCAAGAATTAAATAAAGAAGAGAGAAGCATTTTATCTGCAGCTTATAAAAATGTGGTATCTATCAAATTGCTTATTCAAATTTTTAGGTGGGTAATAAAAGAGCAGAATTGAGAGTACTCACTGCTATTGAACAAAAGGAGTCAAGAAAATAAACTGATCAATATACATTAAATTATATCAGAAATTACAAACATAAAATTGAAGGTGAACTCAAAAATTCATGTGCTGAAATACTCAATTTAATTGATACTACTCTCTATCCAAATGCAAAATAAGTTGATAGCAAAGTCTTTTATTTAAAAATGAAGGGAGATTATAATAGATATTTAGCAGAATTCTTATTAGACAATGAATATCATAGTGCTGTAGAATAAGCTACACAATCTTACAAGTAATTTATTTATTATTAAAATATAGAGAGGCTGATGTCTTGGCTAAGTCAAATTTATCAACTACATCTCCAATTAGATTGGGTTTACATCTTAATCAATCAGTTTTTTATTATGAAATCTTATAAAATGCAACTGAAGCTATTAGAATAGCTAATGATGCATTTGAATAAGCTATTGCTTAGGTTGATACAGTGAATGAAGAGAATTATAAAGATTGCACTCTAATTATGCAACTGTTAAGAGACAATTTAACTTTATGGAATAATCCAGAAGAAGAAGCTAATGATGATTAATGAATTATTATAAAATCTATTAGATTTATATTCAATTATAATTTAATTTGTAGAATTATTGATAATACTTGCATTCATATCTATTTTATAGTGAATAAATATATTCATTATCATCAAATTAAGAATTTATTTTTTATTGTTAATTTAAATAATACTTAATTTTGCAATCTATTATTTGTGAAATCTTTGAATAGAGATCCTCAAAAGTTCTTATTATTATTTGTACAAATTATTTCAATTGAAATTAATTAATTCTCATAATTGTTACAATGTTACAGCTATTCTATTATTTATTCATTCAATACTTCATAAAAATTGAAAATTAAATAAATTTTATTAAATAATAAAGCTTTATTAAATAGTGAGATATTCTTCTTTAATTTATTTGATATTAATAAAATTTACAAAATTTTTGGCAGTTTTAATCAAATAAGTTCGATTAAGTTATAGAAAATTAAATATATATATAAGTTTCTTGAAAGACTTAAAAATAATTTTAATTTAATTTGAAAAAATTATTAATTCTAAAAACAACTTTTTAGAATATCAAAATAGTTACTTGAATCCACATCTTTTTGATTACTCCATATATGATGATTCATCAGTTGTAGAATTACTTGGTTTAATATTAAAATATTCCATTTCATTCCTTTTTACTCTTTCTCCAGACATCCATTTATTTTCACAATCAGTTACACAATAAGTATATTCAAATAACTAATCCTTATCTTCATTCTTAATAATAAAAGTCTTTATTTTCAAAGTAGCTGTAAATCTATCTCCATTATAATTTATATAATCTCTTTTAGTATCAGCTTATTCTACTCTTGCCGAAAAAATTTTTTTAAATATATGAAGTTGTCCATCAGATACATCAAAATAAGCACTTAATGGGATTAGTTTGGTTTCATTACAATAATTTATTAGCATATTTTCAGAGATAGCTAATACTTCAAGCATTTTATGATTAAATATTTTTTAAAAAGTTCTCCACATTCCTTTCTCATATATTGATACATAAC